CAACATGGCTGTTCTACTGTCTTGTATTTCTTTGCTGAAAGAAACTGTCAGTGAGTCCTTGGTTGATCATCATTGCATGTCTATATCTGTTTTCATGAGAAACCACTTTGAAGATATCAATATGTAATACAACAAGCATTGTTAATTCCCTACCACTTTGTTTGTAACTCCATACAGTCTGAACTGTTCCTTTGCTATTTTGTAAAATGTTGTCTGTATGTTAATATTTTCCTTTTATTTAAAAAATAAATAAATAAATAAAGGAAATTGAAAAGCACATCAGAAAATGGAAAAATATCCCGTTCCTAGATAAGCAGAATATAATGAAATGATTATACTTCCAATTCTGATATACAGATTTAATGCAATTCCAATCAAAATAAAACAATATTTCTTACAGATGTAGAGGAAACAATTCTAAAGTCTACATGGAACAAGAAGTGACCCAGAGTAGCAGAAGCAATCCTTGACCACAGAAGCAAAGCAGGTCACCTAACTTCAAAGCCACAGCTTGAAGTTATACTAGAAAGCTACAGTGTTTAAAATGGTATGGTACTAGCAGAAACATAGGCATGTAGATCAGTGGTACAGAAGAGAAGCAGAAACAATCCTGGGCACATACAGCAATTCAATCTTTAACAAATGGACCAAAAACACACTGAAGGAATGGCAGCCTCTTTAATAAATGGTGCTTGGAGAATTGGATAGACACATGCAGAAGACTGAATCTAGCCATGTACTACACTAAAATCACCCTGTGGTAAGGTAAAATCAAATTGGACCTACATATCAAGACAGAAACATTTACTCCACTGGAAGGTAAAATAGGTACAACTCTTAAAGATACAGGCATAGGCAAGGACTTTTTGAATAGAGAACCTCAATGGCACAAGAAATAATACCAAGAATCAAGAAGTGGGATCATATCAAATTAAAAAGCTTCTGCACATGAAAGAAAAAACCAACAGAGTAAAGAGACAACCTACAGAATAGTTAAAAATTGCCATCTATTTCTCAGAGGGCTAATATCTAGAATATATAAAGAACTCAAAAAATTAAACTCCCCAAAATAAGAAAAAAAAATCAAAAACAATCAGCTGAAATTAACAGATAGTTCTAAGAAGAACTACAAATAGCCAGTAAATACATGAAGCAATGTTCAAAATTGCTCGTTATGAAGGAAATGCAAATTAAAACTACTCTGAGATCCCACCTTATCCCATAAAGAATGGCTATCACCAAAAAATCAAATAATAACAAATCTTGGTGAGGATGTGGGGAAAAAGGAACTCTTCTGCATTGTTGCTGGAAATGTAAACTAGTACACCCACTATGGAAATCAGTGTAGAGATTCTTAAAAATTTCTGCTTTAAAAACAGAAATTCCGGGGCTGGGGATTTAGCTCAGTGGCACAGCGCCTGCCTGGCAAGCACAAGGTCATGAGTTCGATTCCTGGTACCAGAAGAAAAACAGAAAACAAAACAAAAAAACAAAAATAAAAACAGAAATTCCATTTGACACCATATCTCCCTTTTGGGTATCTTCCCAGAAGAGTTAAAATTATCATATTATGGGGATACACACATACCTCTCTTTCATAGCAGCAAATTTATACCTAAATCTTGCAAACAGTGTATATGTCCATGAAAAAAATGAATGGATAAGGAAATTTGCTATTACAAATTGTGCTGCTAGAAAATGTGGCATTTACACAGAATGGAGTACTACTCTGCCATAAAGAAAGATAAATATGAAGAACTCATAGGTAAATAAATGCATCTTGAGAACATAACATTATGTGACATAAGGTAGACAAACTCTTAAATATCTCATTGTTTCTCTTACATGAGAAATTAAAAGTATACATGTGCAATCTTTCAGATTCTCACACTACAGAGACAATACAAGGCTTACACCTGTGGGTCTGGTTTATTTCATTTACAAGTATGGTCTTGAGTTCCATCCATTTATGTATAGAAGTCACAAGTTTATCCTTCTTTATGGCTGAGTAGTACTCCTTCACATAAAAAAATACATCTTTTTTTTAATCCCTTCCTTCGCTGATGGGCTTTAAGGTTGTTTCTAAGATTTTACTATTACAAATTGTGCTGCTAGAAACATGGGTGCACATATACTGCTGTGGCATGCTGTTGATTCTTCTGGGAAGAATCAGCTAGGTCAAATGGGACCACTAATCCTAGTTTTGTAAGAAATCTCCACACTGATTTCCATAATGGTTGCACCAGTCTACACTCCCACCAACAGTGGAAAAGGGTTTCTTTTTCCTCATAGTCCCTCCAGCATTTGTTGTTGGTTGATTTCTTGATGATAGCCATTCTCTCTGCGGTGAGATGGAATCTCAGTGTTGTTTTAATTTGCATTTCTCGAATGACCAGTGATGTCAAATATTTTTTCATGTATTTACTTGCCATTAGTATTTCTTCATCTGAGAAACATGTATTCATCTCAGATGCCCATTTTTGGATTGGGTCTTTAAATTCTGGGACCTGATTTTTTTCAATTCCTTATATGTTGTAGATAGAAGTCGTTCATCTAAGGGGCAACTGACTATTTTTTCCCACGCTGTAGGTTGTCTTTTGACTTTGTTGGTGATTTCTTTTGTTGTGCAAAGCATTTTAATACAGTAAAATCCCACCTATTGATTCTTTGCTGTATTTCCTGTGCAATTTGTTCATGAATTCTCAGCCTACACCCATGTCTTCAAGATTTCTGCCCATTTTCTCTTCCAGTATATTCTAGTAAAACAGTTCCTGTTTTACTATTTAGATCTTTGATCCACTTTGACTTTAGTTTAGTGCATAGTGATGGACATGGGTTTAGTTTTAGTCTTTGGCGTGTGAAAGCTGGTTTTTCCAGCACCATTTATTAGAGACTATCTTTCTTCCAATGAACATGGTTGGCTCCTTTGTTGAAGATAAGGTGGTTTAGTGTGTTTGTTGTTGCATCTGCATCTTCTATTCTATTCCACTAATCCTCAAATTTTTTTTTGCCAACACCATGCTGATTTTTTCACAGTAGCTTTGTAGTGCAATTTCAAATCAGGAATTGTGATGTCCCTTCACTTGCCATTGTTGCCCAGGATTGCCTTTGCTATTCTAGGTCTCTTCTAGTTCCAAATGAATTTTAGGAATGTTTTCTCTAGGTCTGTAAGGTATACTAATGGTATTTTGATTGGGATTGTGTTAAATCTGTTTAATAGTTATAGGAGTAGGGCCATTTTCCTTATGCTGGTTCTTCCTATTCATAAGCAAGGGATATCTTTCCATTTTCTGATATCCTCATTCTCCTTTTTTAGGGTACTGTAACTTTCACTGTACATATATTTTATATCCCTCATTAGATTGATTCCTAAGTATTTCATTTTTTGGATGCTATTGTGAAGGGTGTGCTTTTCCTAATTTCTCTCTCTTTGTGAGTTTGTTGCTTGTGTACAGGAATGCTATTGATTTTTGAGTACTGACTTTGTATCCAGTTATGCTACTGAATTTGGTTATTAAATCAGTGTCTTTTGGTAGAGCTTTGGGGGGTGTTCTTTGTAGAGTATCATGTCATCTGCAAATAATGGTAATTTAATTTCTTCCTTTCCTGTCCTTATTGCTTTTACATCTTTCTGTTTTCTAATAGCTCTTGCTAATGTTTCCAGAACTACATTGAATAGGAGTGGTGACAGTGGACATTGTTGTCCTGTTCTTGATTTTAGAATGAAAGCTTTCAGTTTTTGACCATTTAGTATGATATTAGCTATTTGTTTGTCATAGAAGGCTTTTATCAAATTAAGACAAAGACCCTCTATTCCAATTTTCTGTAGGGTTTTCTTTTTATTGTGAATGGTGTTGGACTCTGTCAAATGCTTTTTCTGCACCTATTGAGATGATGGTGTGAGTTTTGTCTTTGGTTCTCAAAGATGTTTCAGAGTGCTGGAACCTAAGGTACCCAGTAGCACTCCTGCTGACCCTCTGCGCTCTTCTGGGTCTCCATGAGTGAAGGGCCTGCTGTGGAGGGTCGGCCATACCTGCTGATGCAAAGCACCGCACAGCCTCACTTGCAGGACCGTGGAACACCAGTTTTCCTGAGGCCAGTAACGTGAGACTGTCAAACATCTTGAAGATGGAATCCTGAGGCTGATGAATGGAGAAGATGATTGTTCGTCCTGCTTTAGACAGCCTAGGTTAAAGGAGGGAAAACAACTAATCATTGAACATCTGAACCTGGCACTTCTTGATAAAGCAAGACCATCTGTTCCTGGTTCAATTTGATCATCACTTACAAACTTCTTTCATATCATCAACTTCTTACCTGGGGAAGCTAAATTCTGTGCTTTTATTGAAAAAACTAAGGCTTTTTTAAAGTATGTATATTAATGGTATAGAAGCCCTGGAAGATTTATTGAAAATGTAGGTAAAAATGGAGGTTACTGAACAGTCTTACCAGCCATTAAATGACATTCTGAAGGCAGAGGAAGTCTCTATTATTAACCAGCATTCAGGCAGTTTGTGAATACTAAAGTTTGAAAAGTAATTATACACTAAACATTAAACAGTTATTGTGTGCTCAGTTCTCATTAATAACTTACGTCTTTTAGCTCTTTCCAATCATGTTTATTCTTCTATCTTGATGATACAGCCAGCACCACTGAGGCCTATGTCTTTGTGAAATGCTTTAGAGGCAGCCCCATTTCAATTTTCACAATGCTGTTATAAGGCAGTTGCAACATTATTATTTCTTTCATTTTAATAGCAAAGCTTAAAGAGTCAAGCAATTGGCCACAGGCTCACAGTTAATAAGAGGAAAGGCCAGGATTTGATGTCTGGTCTAATTCCATGGAAGAAACATTGCTAGACTACGTTTCACAGGAGTTATTACATCTGAGTAGAAAAAAAGGGTCAAAATCACTGTTAAACTGTTATTAAAAGTATCTTATGAAAAGGGTTACTTCAATTTAAAATCTGATAAGCACACCCTATCTGCTAGTGTTGTGGCCATGACTGTTCTGCCTCAAATAAGCCAGAAGATCAGTAACTTCAGTACAATGTGGAACAGAAGTAGCTAAGGGTTCCTAGTAAGCAAAATAGGAGACTTAAGGCCCAGTCTGAAGGAGATATAAAAGAAATATGAAAAGTCCCACAGGAGTAAGCTAAGAAGAGAAAAGATACTCAATATGGAAAAAGAAAGTGTATGAAATATGAAATAGGTCCATTCAGGAAACTACAAAACCTCAGTATTGGAAACCAAGGTGTAGCTGTGTGTATGTGTGTGTGTGTATTTGGTACTGAGTGACAAAGATAACTAGAGAGATTGCAAAAAAGAGCAAAGCAGGCCAATTTCACATCTTCATTTAAAGATTAGTACTGTGTTTGATAGCCAAAAGGCAGCTGGGAAAGGACCCAAAGCAGAAAGTGGGAAAGTAGGATTGCCTGGAATTCCTGCTGCTCAGAATGTGGTCTGAGGGCTGGCAGCATCAGCAACAGGTCCTCCACTTAAGAATCTCCTATGGAGAATCTCAGCTCTACCTCAGACCCATGGAAGTAGTCCCTGCATCATAACTGAACCTCAGGTTATATGTATGCTTGAAAAGAATGGTTTTGACCTCTCTACATGAGGATGGATGGTGATGTGCTGTGCAGTGGAAAATGCATCAGTTTTCTACACCAATTCAGCATTTTTTCATTAACACTGCCACACAGAGATAAGAAAAACAGTATGGATATGCTATGTAATGGGACATAAACTCCAGCACCATAAGTTGGCTTCTTCATATATTGTGCAACTGAATCTCAAACTTACGATGTTTAAAACCCTAAATATTTCCCAACTTCCTATTTCTTCTCTCCTAGAATAGAAACTTGCCTCTAGCAGCATGTGTATCAGAGGAAGCAAAATAGTGAGGGACAGGGGAAGCCTTAAGGTCTGGTAGCTAAAAAAGTGGGTGGAGGGGCTGGGGATTTAGCTCAGCGGCAAAAGCGCCTGCCTGGCAAGCGCAAGGTCGTGAGTTCGGTTCCTGGTACCGGAGAAAATCCAAAAAAAAAAAAAAAAAGTGGGTGGAGGGGCTTCCAGAGGCAGTGCACAAAGGGAATGGCCAGAGCAATTGGGACATTTGTTGCAGCAAATTATTAAATAACTTAACTGAACAACTAACAAAAAAATGGGATAATGGAGCATAGTACCTACTGTCTGAAGTTACAAACATGGAAAGGAAGAAAGATGGAAAATAAGAAATATGAAAAAATCTCAGAGATGTTAGCATGCTAAATTAGAACTAGAAATATAAACTCATGGGCTTTTTAATATGTATACATCAACAGAAATAGTCACTGAACTTATATTCACAGATGTCTTTCTATTGGAAAAAAATATATATGGCCTGGGGATGTGGCTCAGCAGGCTGTATGTATGTGTGTATGTGTTTCTAGTTCCGTCTACTCAGGGTCTAGAAGATGACATTTCAGTAGCAGTACACACACTAAGCAACCAATGACACCTAAAGAAAACAACTCTCATGCAGAAATCCCTGAAACAAAAACAAAACCAAACCAAATAAAACAAATCCTGTAATACCAGGTGACCAAAAAGTAAAGAAATGCTACAGGAACTACTAGGGAGATTTCAAAGCAACACAAAAACCACAAGGAATGGGCTTCCCTTGGCCAAATCAAGGTTAATTTCATAACAATGAAGAATAATAGATTACAACCTCTTACAGAATGTGACAGGAACTGGGAAGAGAAGAAGTGCTTTCCTTACTAGAACTGTCACATGTCAGGCAACCACCTCAAGAGCAGGAGTTATGAGTGTATGCTAACGCTGTGCTGGAGAGCTGTGGTGAAGAACAGAAGAACGACACAATAGCCAATTACCTCCCTCACAAAGTGTTAATCGGTTCTAAAGGGGCAAAATAGTAAGGTCATATAGCAAAGCCAGGAGACACTGACAGGACAGATGACAAAGGTGTGCATCACCTATGCTGGGTGCAGCTCTAGGTGTGTAGCACCAAGAACATCACAGCACTCTGGGCTGAATCAGCTCATGGACACTGGGACGGACCCAGGCTGAGGTCACTCCACTGAACATACCAAGCCTCACAGGAACATGAAACATAAAGACTAGCAAACTGTTTAGAGCAGTGGGGAAAAACAAAATGTGTGTTTCTAGAGAGGATCCTGCGGCCTTAGGAAACAGACACTGGGGAAACTGCTGACTCCTGAGTGGAACCTACGGACTGGATGGTGGTGAAGCCCTGAATGCTGAGCTCTTCATCGGGCGGGTGGGATGGGGGGTGTCCTAGTTTCCTGGAACACTTAGGGGATTCAGACACAATGTGGAAAAACCTATGTAGGGAAGTAGAAAAGGAGAGGGAGGCAGCCAATGAAGTAAAAAGGAACAGCCTGGGGATCCAGGTGAGCAGAGCAGGATTTTCTCTGTACTATTCGTGGAGATTTGTGTAGGTTTGAGAATATTTTTATTAATTTTACCAAAGACAGACAAAACAAGTTTGAAAAATTTTCCTATAAAGGTTCCTGCCAATCTTCTTTCTTGATGAAATACTATGCCTTTTACTCCTTTATTCCATGTGTTCAGCCCTCAGCTCCAGAAATCATTCCTTAAATCATCCATCCCAGGTCCAATTTATGAACTGATCCTGTTGGTTGTGCCTTAGGACAGAACCTCAACCCACCCACTTCTCAGCACCTCACCATGGCCATCACTGTCGAGGCACCATCGCACTTCATCAGCCTCCTTCCCGGCCTCCTCACACTCACCCCTCCCCAAATTTATAGCTCTCTGCAGCTGCCATTCCTCTGCTCTCAAAAAGCCCCCCACATCTTCTAGTAACCATAGAAGCCCCACTTTGCACAGTGGCCTACAAGGTCCATACAATCTGTCACCAACCCAACCCCACCCCTCATCCCATTCTACCTGTGGTGGGCTGAACTGTGTCCTCCCCAGAACTCTTGTGCTGAAGTCCTGACGCTCAGTACCTCATTATAGGGCTGCATTTCGAGGTAGAGTCTTCAAAGAGGTAATTAAGACTAAACAAGCTCACTGAGAGGATCCTAATCAGATTGGTATCCTTTTAAAAGATTAGGTCATGGACACAATATACCAAGGGAAAAGATAACCATCAAGAAGTCAGTGACAGAGGACTTAGAAGAAAACACCATGAGGACACCTTGATCTCAGACTTTTAGCCTCCAGAGCTGGAAGAAAATTACTTCCTGTTATTTAAACCACTCAGGGTGTGGTATGCTGCTGTAACAGTACACTAGCCAAATTTCACTCTACTGTGTCACTGGGTTCTGTCCCTCTGGCCTCTTTGGTGTCTCCCACACAGCAGGTCTGGTCAGCCCAGGCCTCCTGGCTGCTCCTTTTCCAGCTGGCACTTTCTCTCTCAGGTCCAGCCTGATCTCACTCCTCCTCAGCTTTTGTGTCATAGGCTTACAGTTTTCCCTGACCCCCCTATTATTTAAATCTGCCCTCACCACCACCATCTTCTTTTCTAATTGACTTTTTCCCTCTAATAGTAAGGAATAAATTCTGCTATTCTATTCTGAGTTCCTTGCACCAAGAACAGCAGGTACACAGAAGTGATCAGATATTAAATATATCAAAGAAAAATGCTCTCATAGCAGTCACCTTTTCAGGAGTAAAAAGACAGCATGTGCTGTACTAGAGTCAAAACCATTAGTGGGCTCGTCCAGAAACAAGATGGAAGGGTCAGTGATCAGCTCCATTCCAATGTTGGTCTTTTTCCTTTCTGCTCCAGACAGACCAGGGATAAATTCAGTTCCAACCTAAAACAAAACATTTTCAACAGGGATGGCCACAGTTCTGTTTCAGCCCTGTACATTTACCTTACTATTTTCCCTATTCTGAGCAGCAAATAAGGGGACACCTAGGAAGAAAGAGATTTCTACTTTACCACCTGAGTAAACTGGGCCTCATGTCAGAGCTGCTAAGTGGCTGAGACCTAACATGAAGTCCATGTGTTTCACACTTCTGTATGTGCCTTACTGAGTCAAATATTTATTTTAAAAATAGTCAGTCAGAATGCTGATATGGAGCAGGACATGGTGGTGCATGCCTGTAATTCCAAATCTTAGGAGGCCAAGGCAGGAGGATTGCCATGACTTTGAGGCCATCCTGGGCTACATTGTGAGTTTAAGACCAGCCTGAACTGCATAGTAAGATGTTGTCTCAACACACACACACACAAACCCTAGAACACTGAGATACAGCATGACATGTAAAATCACAGTGCAAACAGAAGACTAAAGCCAGGCATGGTAGCAGATTCCTTCAATCCCAGCACTGTAGGATGCTAAAGCAGAGGATAACAAGTTCCAGCCCTACCTAGGCAACTTCGCAAGACGTGGTTTCAAAAGTTGAAAACGGGGGGAATTGGAGATGTAGCTCAGTGCAAAAGCTCTGGGTTCAATCCCCAGTACCTCAATCAATCAAGAATCAAACAGGAAAAGGGAAAATATCTATAGTAATTTATTAGTCATCTATCAGCACCTCTCCCCACTGTCTCGGCTATAAAAGTCCCCAACTGGAATTACAAGATGAGAGTTGACTCTGAGTCAGGAAATTGCACTGTCTCCAGCCTTTTCAATTTCCATGACTCTTTCACCACTGACACTGCCTACACACTAACTCATCACAGAACTTCTGATTCACACTTTCAGCCAAATGCAGAAAATGGGATATATTTCAGGGCAACTGGCTCACTTTTTTCAAGTAGTCAATGTCACTGTATGTGGCAAGGGGAGAAGGAGTGAGAAACAATTCTGTAATTGATTTCCAAAAGGGTCAGACATGGTAATCCAAGCCTATAATTCTAGCACTTGGGAGGCTAAGGCACAGTTGCAAGTTTGAGGGAAGCCTGGGCTAACAGTGAGTTCAACTATGGTTAACATGGACTACATAGAGAGACCTTCTCTCAACCATGCTCCCTGCAAAAATGTCTCCAAAATAATAAATGCTACCTGGGCCCTTGCTAAGGTTCTATTAACAAATGAACTATAAAAGACATTTGGAAACAGTTTGAGGAATATGAATAAATACTGCCTTAATACAGCTAACAGTATGAAGATACTGTTCCTTTGTAGGTAATAATGGTACTGGTATTTTTATACATGCAAAATAAATTATTGAGGGTACAATATTATACGTTTCTTTAAAATACTTCAGGAAGAAAGAGTTACGGTAATTCTGGTTAAGATGTGAAGAATTAAGAAATCAAGGTGAACAGTCTTAATAGTTACACTGTTACACCAATTTTTTACAATATCACTATGATAATCAGATTATTTTCTCTGAACTGCTGTTTACAATATCATAAAAAGTATAAAACTATGTAATTATTTCAAGCACTGACACTACACAAAATTCTAAGTCAACTGTCTTTGTATGCTTTCCCTAAAAATTCAAGAAAGTAATATAGCACATTAAATTCCTGAAAAAGCAGCAAAAGGAAGTACCATATGAAAAATACAAAATAAAAATAAATAGACCCAAACTAAAGTGAATCATTCATAATAAAAAAGTAAGCAGTAAATGTTGGTGTCCCAGGGCTATTCTTCCACATAAAAGAGTTCACAAGAAGGCTATTGTCAAGTATCGTGGGAAGTAGCAGCCATTAGAACCCTTGTTCTCAAGTGCAAGGTCCTGAGTTCGATTCCTGGTACTAAAAAAAAAAAAGAACAAGGGTTCTAACGGCTGCTACCTCCCATGATATTTAACAATAAGAAAAATAAGGGGCTGGGGACTTAGCTCAGTGGCAAAGCGCCTGCCTGGCAAGCGCAAGGTCGTGAGTTCGGTTCCTGGGACAGGAGAAAAACCAAAAAAAAAAAAAAAAAAAAAAAAAAAAAAAGAAAAATAATACATACAGGATAGTATAACAGTTGCATTACTGACTTCTATCGCTTTATTGAAAGGAACAGTTTATGATTAATTATTTGATCAATCTTGCATGTCTGTTTGTTTATCTGAGTAACCACTTTGAAGAAACCAATATGTAATACAATAAACATTGTTAATTTCCTATCACCTTGTCTGAATTTCAGTATTGCTTGTATTGTTCTTGTGTTATTTTGTAAATGTATGTGCTTGTTAATATGTTTTCATTCTTTTATTTTTAAAATAAAAATAAAAAAAGAACCCTTGTTCTCCATGGCCTCTAACAAGAGGGTGTCACAGTGGCATGAACTAGACATTACTACCTAAACAGTTCAGCTTCACCTGAAACTACAAATGTCTGCTCGGCAGAACTTCCACATTGACCTGTCAGCTGCAGAGCTCACTCGCTCCTCTAACATCCTTCATGATCCCACACAACCCTCCAAAGGAGCAGTTAATTTGTTGCCTTTGTTACTCTTGCCCACAAGTATTTCTCTAAAAATTGAAACAGAGCCTGGCATAGAAAAATCTGGAAATAAATACTGGCAGAACAAGAAAGCAGAGAGGTAGGTAGGAATGAGACAAAACTGCAAAAAAAAAAAAAAAGAAGAAAAAAAAAGCAAGTAAACAAAAAAGAAATACATAAAAAAAAACTGTACAACTACACAAGTTAAAAGTAAATAATAATGTGACTGAATATAATTTTGGAAGCCAAAGGACAGCAAAAGAAATGAACAGAGCAAGAATCCTTGGATTCTCATCATTTATCAACTCCAGAAATATACCTCTCCAAAGCAACAAAACAAAGTCACCTGGAGACAGACAGACAGACAATTGAGAAGAGAAAAATACAAAAATGAAAATTAGTGCAAAGGTATCAAAGCCCGAACTTGAATAATGAGGGTGAGGGAGGATCCCAGGGAAAAGGCTACGTGAGGACAAGTTTCACACCATCTCCAGGACTCAATCACTGTTAAATTTTTTGCAGCTTAATTTACATCTCCTTATTATGTAACTAGTCACTCTTCTCCTCATTACAGGAAGCCACCACTTTGACCACACATATTATACAAAATTTCTGATTAGGGTCAGTTTACTCACACAAGGGAAGTCTCATTACCTGCCTATGATTCTACCAGTTTTATTCACAGTACCTTGGAATCTGCCACTTTATCCAGACCTAATTCTTCAATGATCCTGTTAATCTTCTCTTTTTTTTCATGATTCGTCACAGCTGCTGGAAGCCGAAGAGCTGCTGAGAATTGTAAGTTTTCTCTCACCGTCAGTGTGCCCTTCATGACATCACCCTTAGGGCAGGATGGTATTTTAGTGAGACAAACTAAGTCTTTTCTAAGATTGTCACTCTAGAGTATGTAGTTTAACCCAAGGAAATAACATAGCCAAAGTAAAGCTTTAGCTAATCGTGATTTTTCAGTTCTACATATTATAGAGACTACATACATTATAGAAAGGTATAAATCTGGAGGAATCATTTTTCATCTTTCATTTGCACACACAGGTAACTGTGATGAAAACTAGCCAACCCTTGTAGACTTCTTTGTACAAGGATCTGCCAAAGACCTCTCAGGGTAAGCAGAATGGTGAAGGAAGGATAGCAGCAGACCCTTTTCAAAATGATACACCAGCTAGAATTGATACCACTGCCTTACAAGGATCATACTCCAGATCTTCTTTGCCTTTCCATTTAATTTCACCTTCAATCTAATGGAAGATTATTAGAAGCTACTGTAAAGAAAGCAATTCTATCAGCACATTATATAACCAGCTAGAAGCATACTAAACCACATAGCAAGGTAGATGCCCACACAGAAACAAAGAAAACCTAGAAAGAAAACCCACTGATACTTACTTGTGCCACATAGCCTGAATAACATTTGAAATTGGCAGGATATGGTTCTCCATTTATCAGAATATCTCCAGATAAGCCATGTGGATTTTTCCTTGCAGCTAAGACATTTAACAACCTATAAAAAGACATAGATGTCATGGAGTCTTTTTCCCTTCAACACAGGCTATGTATTTTAGTTTCTCAGCTCTAGTTAGAAAATAAACTGGCCAAGAAAGGTAACAGACATAGATACATATGTATATTTTTTAACTCTTACCTACTTTTTCATTATGTGTTTCAAGAAAGTCCAAAACCATAAAAGCAAGATATCATTAGCTTATCCAGTACAGACATCCCAAATGATCCCTCCTGGTATCTAACCTTGAAGGTCTCAACCAAGGCAGTGTGCTTCTTTATTTTAATCTCATGCCTTCACTTAGAACTTCTGTTCCATCTTCTTCCTTTTAATATTATCTCCTTGTTCTCCCTCTCCATTGGTTCATAATACTGGCTTTGTAGACCAATTGTTTTTTCACATCCTATTAGTAAACCTAACGAAATAAGGTACCTGGTCCTTAGGACAAAACCACAATCTGGCCTGAATGCACATTTTCAGAGCATCTAGGATGAGACTGCATGCCTAACAAATGCTCAACCAACACCTGCTTGCATAGAGGTGAGTTTTTTAAAGCACACTGAAATACTACAGCAAAAAAGCGTACTTGCATTATACATTATACTCACAAAGATTTGCCTGCACGTGGAGGTCCCAGAATGGCATTGAGGCCAGGTTTCATGATCCCACTGTAAACACAAAAACATACGAATTTATTGTTCCACTTTAAATGAAATTCTATTAACTTACATCTGAACTGAATACACTTAATGAAGGTTGATGAAATTTTAGACAAAAAAAAAAGGAATCAACTTGTGAAGAAAAAATGCTTATTAAGAGAAGACTAATATTCAAATGATATCAATCATGAATCAGGACCTATACAAAATGGTTCAGATCCCTCTAAATTCCTTTCACTTATTTTTGAAGCCATCCTCCCTTTTGGTAACAATCAGTGTGGTCTGAAATAAGTCACAGATTCTCCTGACCCATCACCTAACAGTGTGTCAAGTACAAAACCGCTTCTCAGCAACGTGTGATGCCTCTCAAACACTGCCTCACTTGCTACCCAGTCAAATACTACACAATTAATCAATGACCCACAGAATACAGACAGTAGCATTCTTACTATCAGAACCTAATGAGATTCCCTCCAACAACATATTTTAAGTAGAAATCTAGAGGCAAGATCACTCCAGAGGATAAGAAAACTTCACTGCTTCTTAACATTCATAAGCGCCTTCCAATTGGAAAAGAAAATACATATTCTAGATAAATTATTTCCTTCCTCATTAAGTGTCCCATAAGAGGGCTAGAAAATGTTCAGTTTACAAGTTGGAGATACTCTTCAGTAGGGCACTCCAAGACATTTAAGGAATTATAGGCATGGTGTAGACACAACCATATTTCAAACAAACTGTGCATGTGTGAGGGAAATTAATATTCTGATAGAGTAGGTAAGTGAAAGAAATCACAGCAGCACTGACTTGGCTGAAACCCAAGAAGGCAAGTATTTCCTGTGTTATGTGAAAGGTCATGAGTGGAACGGTTAAGCAGAACAAATTGGAGAAAGCAGAATTAAGACTAGCCCACAGCAAGTAGGCAGGCACACAAAATGTAGACCTAACTCAGCTTTTCTAAGCCTGGGAGTATATGCCCAGTCTTTCATTGTAATTTATAAGTGGGTCAGTATGTATTATACAGAGAAAATAGTATATATTCCAAGGGGAAGGGCAAATTAAAGGGTATTTTGATCTCAGATAATGTTCAATCCACAAAGGTCAATCTTATAATTACACAATTGTCATAAACGATGAAATTTCTAGTGTAACTGCACCACAATGCATAATCTAAGAGGACATCAGCATTTACTGTCTGTTGTCCCTGATCCATCACAGTTACACAGTGGTTGGTGGGAAAAGCGGAAAAGTATATTTTACTTAGTTGGATAACTAAGATACCTCTCACTAAAATATCGGACAAAGATGACTGTTCAGTAAACCTGGAATAAGCTGTAGCACAGAAAACACTCTTATTTTGGGGTGATATTTCCCTTCCTACCCATGCAAAAACATACTAAGTAAACTTTCAAGGTTTATTTATTTATAGCTCTTGATGCACCTTCCTTATTAGTAGCTGCCTAGTAACTGCTTCTAAAATGACTAAAAATAAGATTGATATTGACTAAGGCGTTGCTGCTAGTAAATTTGGCTATGTTTTAAAAATACATAGCCAAAGAAGTGCCATTTCAGATTGTATATTTGTGTCACCAATATTCCCATCAACAGGTGAATAAAGAAAATGTGATATTTATACACAATGGAGTACTATTTTGCCATAAAGTAGACTAAATGAGTCATTTTTTAAGAAAATAGAGGCAGCTTGAGACTGTAATGTGAAGTGAGAGAAATCAGACACACTATAATAAATAGGATCTGCTTTCTCTTATTTGAGAAACCCAAAATAGAAATAAAGAGCAAAAAAAAAAAAAAAAATACAAATAATAGGAATTAGGGAGAGAGGTCTTTTGCAAAAGGGAAGGTAACCCAGAGAGGGGTAGAGGGGAAGGGAGAGGAAAGAAAGGGGATGAAAGCCCGGCACACGGGAAGCCATGGGCAGGGAGCGCTGGTCTTCCGACCAGCAGCTCACTCCCTGCCTCGTAGGCCCCTGGAGGGAGGGCCCCCGGGGAGCCACGGGCGAGGAGTGCCTGTCTTCCGGCTGGCTCACTTCCTGCCTCGCAGGCCCCCGGAGGGAGGGCCCCCGATGCAGGGGGAGCCATGCGGCTGAGAGTGCTGTGGCACGCCGGCCTGGCCGGCTGCCGCTGCTCAATTGAGAACACCTGACACAGAGAAACAATGACACAATTGGCCCACCGTGCACCGGCTGCAGATGCCCACCTAAGGACGTGTGTGAATCATTCAAACTTTGAACAACCCCTGGGAATACATGCTATACAACGGGCCACTCTTGCTCCTGCCATTGAAAACCAGAAAGGTCTAGAGTCAGCAGAGAAGCATCTGCTGAACAAGGACTCGGAGAACATGAGAATGCAGACTAAGCCTGAGGGGTCAGAGGACCTGTGGACTGGGTTCATGAGAGCCGCTTGGAAGCTGTAAACCAGGAGGACCTTGCACAATACATACAGAGACTCCCTGGAAGTCATTCTTCCCCTGACAGTACAGGCTGTGGTGGAGCCCTGGAGAAGTCTGCAACAGGATTCCTGCTGCCTGTGCTGACAGCTGGGGAGAGGACACTCACTGGTTGTGGGGTCCCAATGCAATGGGAGGCTGGAGAGAAAATGCTACAAAAAATGGCTTTGGCCCCAGATGGCTCACTTGATTTTTGACAACCCTTAGGCTGTAACTACTTGTTAGATCCTTCTTGCGTATCTCTGTCTTCCTGAGAAACCACTTCTAAGATACCAACATGTATTACAGCAGTCATTGATATTTTCCTACTAATTTATCCATAACTCTGTAATGTTTGTATTGTTCCTATCCTATTTCATAAATGGATGCATGTTTATTATTATGTGTTTCTTACAACAACCATTGAGAATAGTTAATGATTATTCAATAGGTCACTCATGTATAGTTCTATTTATTTTCTTTCGAAGATACATAAGTAGAGTACAACAACTATTGATAATCTCCTACCTCTTTTGTCTGTAACTCACTATTATTTGTCTATTTGTTTTCCTGAGAAACTATCTTGTAGATAACAATATATAAAACAATAACCATTGATAATTTCCTACCACTTTGTCTGTAATTTGGTAAGCCCCCCCCATTATTGTTATCCTTCTCTTACTCTTTAAAATACAAAAAAAAAAGAAAGGGGATGAAAGAACATGTACTATGCACACGCCCCAACTCCCCATGAGGACTGTAATCATTATGTACTGCAAACAAGTATGAATAAAACAGTTGAAAAAGTGGTAAGAAAAAAATACAGAAAAGACATGAGTCTTTTTCTACTCATCTTATGTAATAACAAGAGGGACAGTAGGTGAGTTTCCAAGAGAGGAATCACACGATCAGGGTGAGAGATTAGGGCTTTTTATAAAAGGGAAGATGTGGGAATATATATATATATATATATACATTTTTGTGATCACCTCATCCCATTCTCTACCCTTCTATCATCCCTTTCAAAACATCCCATTTTACTTATTACTTTACAACATTTGTCTGCATTAGTTCTCCCTCATTATGCTGTATTTCCATCAACATTCTCATACTCTTCCCGGGCCAGGGAGAAACAAGAGCAGAGCCCTTGCAAACAGCACAATCAGCAGGGGGTTTTGCTCCAAGGGGACTCTTCACACAGCAGACAACAGTTGGAAAACAGGTCAATGATGTGTTTGGTGGACTCACAGAAAATGTAACTAATCAGAAAATGGAGGCAATAAACAAAACAGTAAGAGAACTTACGGACGACATTAATAAAAAACCAGCTGAGGTAAACAAAAATGGTACAAAACATAAATGGTGAGTTTAGCAAAGAACTAGAGGAGAAAAATCCAGGAGATTAAAATTTATATTAAAAGTATGGATAGCAGAAGTGATGAACATGAGGAAAGAATATCAGAATTACAAGATACAGATGCTTTCAAAGACCAATTATTCAAAGATACCTTAAAAAAAGAAAAATAAAGAAATGGATTCAACCACTGATAAACAATGAAAAGAAGACTAATCTAAACTGGAATAAGTAAAGAATCAGAAGACAACACAAGGAACATAAAAAGTATTTAGAGAAATAATACCATGAAAATTTCCAAATATTGGGGAAAAATTATACATACAAGTAAGTGAGAACCCTAAACAGCCATTATCAAAAGAGATTATCTCCACATCCCATCATGTCAAAATACCACAAGTTTAACAAAAGGACAGAATCTTAAAAAGTTGTTAGAAAAAAGCAGTAGATCACTTATAAACATAAACCACTTAAGAGTTACAGAGGACTTCTTAACACAAACCTTAAAGGCCAAGAGAGCTTGGAATGAAGTGTTTCAAGTGCTAGAGACTTACATATCCTGCAGAACTTCCTTTCAAAATTGATGGAGAAATAAGACATTTCCATGATAAAGGGTACATTAAGAAATTCTTGACCACCAAACTAGCAGTAAAAAAAAATTAAGGATATCCTAGAATGACACAAGGAAGCCAAAAATGCCACAAAAAAAAATCTATTAGAATGAATACATGAAGCAGGGTGAGGAGTTAAGCAGAAAGGGAGTAAAAAGGAAATCAGCAATAGTGAATGAAAGCAATGATAGGAATAAATCAATACCTTTCAATAAAAATGTTTAATTTGAATGGTCTGAATTCCCCAATAAAAAGACAGACTGGCAGAATGAATCAAGAAACAAAATCCATGCTATGCAATATATAAGAAACAAATTTAATCCAAAAAGAAATATACAGTAAAATTCAAAGGGTAAAAAACAATACTCCATAAAATGGGAGTCTGAGAAAAATCAAGAGTAGCTAACCCAATCTCCTACAAAGTGGATGTCAAACAAAAACTGATCAGAAGAGGCAAAGAATATCAGCACATATTGGTTAAGAGAACAGTTCAACCAGAAGAGAAAACAGTTATAAACATACATGCACCAAAAACCAAAGTGCCCAACTTCCTAAAATAAATACCACTGGACATAAAATATCAGATAAAAACCAACACAATCATAATGGTGGACTTGAATACCCTACTGTCACAAACAGATCAAGTAAACAGCAACAAAAAAATTTAACAGTTAAATATCATAGTGGAACTAAACCTTCAAAGCAATGGAGTTATATATATCTATGGTGTGTTCCACCCAACAACAATATACATTCTTCTGAGCAGCACATGGGACTTTCTCCAAAATATACCACATGCTACCCCATAAAGCAAGCTTAAGTAAATGCAAAAGAACTGAAACTATCCCATGCATATTGTCAGATTGCAGTGCAATGAAACTATAACCCAATGGCAAAAGAAACCACAGAAATTATATAAACATATGGAAATTAAATAGTACTCTTTTCAATAATCAGTAGGTAACGAGAAATAAAGGAAAACATTAAATACTTTCTAAAGTCAAACAATGATACCAGCACAACACACTAGAACTATGGGACACAGTAAAAGCAGTCCTATAAGGGAAGTTTATACCTGTGACTGCCTACATCATAAAACAGACTGATCCCAAATAAATAACCTAATCATGAACCTCAACATTCAAGAACAACAAGAACAATCCAAATCCAAAGCTAGTAAAAGGAAGGAAATTATGATATCAGAGCAGAAATGAATGAAATTGAGACTAAAGAAACAATACAAAGAATCAACAAATTGAAGGGATGGTTCTTTGAAAGAACAAACATAATAGACAAATACTTAGCCAATCTTACCCAAAAAGGAAAGAAAAGACCCAAATTAAAACAATAGAATAAAATATGTGAAATCATAAGGGACTCTCCTGAAATTCAGAAGATTACTGGTCACTATTTTGACTCAGTTATTTGGTAACTCATAAAGTAGAGAATTCAGCAGAGATGAATAGATCCTAGATACTTACGAACTGCTAAAAATGAACTAAAAATATGTTTAAAACTCTGAACAATACAGAATCAGGCAATGAGATGAAGAAGTGATTAAAAAAAAGACCCTACCAATTCACAGAAATTCAGGTGCTGATGGATTCAAGGCCAAGTTCTGTAAGAACTTCAGGAAAGATCTAACACACATACTTCTCAAACATTTTAATGAAATCAATAGGGGAGCAGTACTCTCAGCATCATTACTGGAAGCTAGCAGAAGCCTGATTGTAAAACTAGACAAGGACCCAAATGAAAAAGAGAACTGCAGGTCAATCTTCTAATGAACATTAACACCAAATCTTCAACAAGATACTGGCAAACAGGATGCAGCAAATCATTAAAAAGATCATGCATCAAGACCAAGCAGGATTCATTCTAGGAACGCAGCGATGGCTCATCATACGCATATCAATAAATGTAAGACTTCAAATAATCACAAACAAGGACTAAAATTACAATCATCTCAATTGATGCAGAAGTCTTTGACAAAAATCCAACATCCATTCAAGATGAAAATCCTGAAGAAAATAGGTACAGAAGGACCTTAACTCAATCTGATAAAAACCATTTATGATAAACCTATGCCAACTTCATATTAATGGGAAAAAGATAAAAGCTTTCCTTCTAAAATCAAGACAAGAATGTCCACTATCACTACTAATGTTCAATATAATTCTTGAAACATTAGCTAGAGTATTCAGGCCACAGAAAGAAATAAAAGGGACACAGAAAAGGAAGAAGTCAAGTTACTATTATTTGCAATGAAGACATGATTCTCTACATAGAAGCCCAAAATATTCCTCTAAAAGGCTCTTAGAATTAATAATAAAATTCAGTAGTATAGCAGAATATGAAGCAAAAAATCAATAGTATTCCTAAACTCACTGAGAAAGAAAATAGGGAAATCATACCTTTCACAATAGCATCAAGAAAAACTTAAAATTTATCAGAATTAACATAACCAAGAAAGTAAGATATCTACTATCAGAAACTGGCCGCTCTCTCAATCTTATGGATGAGTGTATGGTGAAGGATAAAAGATAGCACACAAAAATAATATGATACATGGGGGTTCAGGAAGGTTCAAGCTCTTGTGGCTAAGGCATAACTTCTCTGACTGGTCAGTATTTTTATTGGGCCCTTAACATACCAAGAGAGTACAGTAAAGTGCAGGGAATAGACGAAGCAGAAGGCATGACAGTGAGCAAGGCCTTGTGAAAATGGATGAAGACATTTTCCAAGTAGTAAATCTTTGCTTAATGAGATAACTGTTTTATATGTAAGGTTGGCAGTTATAGCCCTGGAAATCTGAGTGAGGCTTTGTGTCCTCAGCTGCACTGTTATCTTGCCTTCTGAGACATCACGGTGTCACAGGCCACTATAGACCTCTACTATGACAGCTGGCATGGAGAGTTCTGTTTCTGTATGCCAGCCACTGGCTCATCAGGCAAATCATTTAGGCCTGTGACTGACTCAGTTAACACAGAAAGCCAAGTGATTAATTCTAAACCCTACTAAGTGCCACCTCAAAGTGGTCTCCATCATCTACAAGGAAAAGTACAATACTCTGAAAAAGGAGATGGAAAAGATATAAGAAGATATCCTGTTCCTGGATAGGTAGAACAAATATAGTCAAAATGGGAATACTTCCAAAACTGACACATATATATTTAATCCAATCCCAATCAAAATACCAATAGCAGTTCTTAGAGAACTAGAGAAATCAATCCTAAAATTCATATAAAACCAGAACAGACCTAGAATACCAAAAGCCATCCTGGGCAACAAGAGCAAGGCAGAACTTCAAGTTAGCCTACAAAGCTACAGAGAAAAAATAGGATGGTACTGGAAAACAAATATTAAACATGTGGAAGACCAATGGAATAGAACAGGGGATGCAGAAGGAATTTGAAGCTCATTTGGCTTCCTGGTCTTTGACAAAGGGTCCAAAAACTTACACTGAAGGAAAGATAGCTTCTTTAATACTATGGAAAGCTGGCTATCCACATACAGAAAATTGAATGTACATCCATATTTTTCACCATATACTAAACTGAAATCAAAACGGATTAATGATCTAAATACAACAGAAACAATCACCTAGAAGATAACGTAGGTAAAACTCTTGAAGACATAGGCATAGGCAAGGACTCTCTGAACAGAAGCTCAACTGCGTAAGAAGTAACACCAAGAATCAATGAATGGGATTATATCAAATTAAAAGTCTTCTGTGCAGTCAAGGAAACAACCAACATAACAAAGAGACAACCCACAACATGGAAAGATTTTTTGTTAGGTATTCCTCAAACAGTGAACTAATATCTAGAATATACAGAAGAAGTAAAAAAATTAGACCCACCCCCGAAACAAAAGCCTCATTCAATAAATGGGAAACTAAAAATGGGCAACTAAAAGAAATAGTCACTCATCAGAAGTAAAAATAGTCAATAAATACATTAAAATACATTCAACATCACTGGCCAATAGAAAGAGTAAATGAAAACAACACATATTCCATCTTACTGAAGAAAGAATGGTGATAATTAAGAAATTAGATAACAAATCTTGGCCAGGCTGTATGAACCCTTCTTCATTGTTAGTTGGGATGTAATGTAGTATAACCATTACACAAATCAGCATGAAGACTCTTCAAAAGCTAGAAAAAGAAACTGCATTCCACCCAGATATTCCCTTCCCAGGCATCTCTGTGCAAGTGTTAAATATATCATATTACAGTATACATGCTCAGCCATGTTTCCAGCAGCACAACTCGTGATAACTAATTCTTGGAAGTGGCCTATTATGTCCATCAACAGATAACTGGACAAAGAAAATATGGTATTAAACACAACAGAGTACAGCTGCCACAAAGAAGGATAAAGTTGAAAGATTTGTAGAGAAATGGATGTACCTTGAGACCATAATGTTAAGTGAAATAAAGGAGACACACAAGCTTAAACATCACATGGCTTCTCTTTTATGAGGAACCCAAAATATAAACAAAAAGCAAAATGAAAGAGAGATATAGGAAGTAGTGAGGTAGATCTTTTGCATATGGAGAGGGACCAAGAGATGGAGAGGAGGTGGAGGGAGGGCAAGGAAAGGGGATAAAAAAATTAAGATATGTGATGTACATGTGCTAACACACCATGAGGATGTAATTATTATGTAGTGCAGACACGTAATAAAAAAGAAAACAAAAAACAACAAAAGTCAGGATGCAGGAAATAATTTATTGAAGAGTTCTATTCTGCCTGGATAAAATTACTCACATTCTCATTTGTTATGTCATGTTTAAATACTGTGCCAGTCTTTCTTACTCGACTCACCTCTCCCCTTAACATACCAAGAGAGTGCAGGAAAGTGCAGTGAGTAGATAACGCAGAAGGCAAATGGCCGATGGAAGTTCTGGGCAGAGGCGTGGCACACAAGAGCTCCCAAGGTTGCAAACGGGGCAGGGGTGGGAAGAACAGAAGAGGCAGTGGAGGCTTTTTTATATTAGGAAATAAGAAAACTGTGCAGATTAGTAAGTACATTAAGAATAATGAGAGCCAAGTTTTTTTAAAATTTTGAGAGGTCACAAAAATGGAAATATGGAAAGAATCATTAGTGTTAGATTGGAATTGGTGAATTCATGAGAAGTCAGTGGTTTTTAACCTATACAGGAACTGTTTAACAGAGTTACAAATGTGTATGCATGATGAGTATATATGTTCATGAATATACATACATTTCCTAAGTCTGTCCACTGAAAAGGAATAGAATGGATATATATGATATATATTATTTTATGTATATATTATGTATACATATAACTTTTAAAAAAACATAAAAAATGTCTCCACTATGAAAAAAGCCATCCAAATCACTTTACTCCTAGGTTACCTGAAAGAAATGAAATCATGTGTCTATGTATCTGTGCAAACACATGGACACAAAAGTTCATGACAGCTTGCGTGTAAAAGGGAAAACCAGTATACTTCACTGTAGGTCAACAAAGAGCTCTTTTAAAAGTTCCAGCACTTACCTCATATCTGATAGTATTTCCTTCTCCACTGTTTTCTGACGGAGTAGAAAGCCACTCTTTGCTTGCACTCGATAGGAGATGTTATGAAAACTTAACACAGCCCCTTCAGTACAGGTCTTCAGGTCACTGGGGGTCATCCCAGGGAGGTCTTTGCTGTGGTTTTGTAATATTGGGATGAAAAAACTGCCATTTCTGGAACACATCTGTAGACCTTCTGCCTTGCTATAGAGGAAAAAACAACATTTAGATAATAGTTTAGATAACAGATTTGACTGCAAACTCCATTTAAATTAAATGTTTTAAATCAAAATGGCAACGAGTAAATTCCTTACCAATGACCAGCCTATGTTACTGTGGTAAGAACAAACTTAGAACCTATAATGAGAGGCAGATATATCTTTGTATATATATATATAGTCAAATTACATGTCAAATTCCTAAGAAGTAAATCGGGCCTAATAACTAAACAGAGTATAAATATTACTCAAAACTTATGAAGCATGAAAAAGATGAATGAGGGCTAGAATAATCTGGCTTGAAATGCATATTATGATACAGTTTAATTTTAGTATTCATTTTTAGTATAAAATAAAAACATATTCATTTAATAGGACTAAAATTAAACTAGTATCATAATATGGCCTAAATACAGCCAACTTTACCTCTTTCCAGAAAAGAATACAAATTGGCAACTCCAGTCAAGTCCTTTCTAATGTATGAACTTGAGAGTGCTACCACTCTTGTACAGATATATTCGCTAGGTCACAAACCTATTGGAAAAGCTCTAGAGATGTCAGTGTATCTCAAAGGTAGATTACTTGCTCAGTATGCACAATGCCTTGAGTTCAACTGCCAGCAACTTATAAAAATAATTAAAAGTAACTTCAGGAAGAGTACTTAATTCCTAGATCTTGATTTTTAATACCATTCCAAAGAAAAATAACCAAATTTCTCTGGACAAGTACAACATTTCTGGGTAGGGGCATGGAAAATACACAATGAGCTTGGAACACATTTTGATAGCAGAAAGTATGGTGATGCAGTTTTAAAAGATAAAAGAAAGGAAAATGAAAGTATTATGTCAGAATGGCACAGGGACAAGTTTGAAAGAATAGGCCTGGTGGTAAGAGCCAGAGCAATTTGAGTGGCCAATTAAGTAACAGCCCTACTAGAGTACAACCTGTGTAATAAAGGGTTTGGGTCAGTACCTGATATAAACAGTTGAATAAACAAGGAAAAAAGGAAAGCTCTTCCTTACAGAAAAAGTTACAAGTTTCTAAGGAATGGAATTTTTTTAAAAAGACTGCACACTATTCAAATAAGTAAAACATGTTTGACAAGCTGATACAAAAATTAGGTAAGTTCAGAAGAAATGATGTTTCTGTAAGTATCTCTACCAAGATATTTATCAACAGTAAAGGGAAATTTTTTTTTTTTTTTTTTTTTTTTTTTTTT